ATATAGATATATACGTGTGTGTGTGTGTATAAATGTATACACACGTTATAGATATATAACACCACTAATTATATAACACACAGATACACACACACGCATATCTATCTATCTATCTGTTTCATTTAAATCATGGAAAAATGTGGATTTGAGGTTACTTTTTTTTATTATTAAAAAATTGTGGAATTTTAAATCAGAGAAAACCATGAAGCAGATCTGAGGTGGCTGCTTCCCCCTCATGCCAGCCCAGGTCCAGCTGCTTCTTGGGGGCCATATGCATTGCACACAAGTCTGGGGGGCTGGCACTTGGCAGGCCAGCCAGTGACAACCCTGCCTGGGCTTATTCAGAAGTGCCCCCTGGCTGCGCAGTTGTGGGGTTTAGGGTGACCTGAAAAGAATTTTTCCCCATAATCTCAGCTTAATTTCAGCTCCTTCAGGTCTGCGTACTTGGTACCCAAGTTTTATTTTTATATATATTATTACATGCTGTTACATTATTACATTACATTATTTTATATTTTTATTAGTAAACGTACTTTTTTAATGATATTCTAACTCTTGAGCAGGTTGAAGTCACTACTAACGACCTATCGTTGTGTAAAGGTTAGCTTTGAAAAAGGAACCAGGAATAAGGACCTTGGAATAAGGAACAACTTCGGTCTCATCACACTGACCCAGTGCAAAAGCAGGCAGGCTGGGCACTCTGCACAGGGTGCAGACGCCCCTGTGCCTTGCACCAATGCAGACCCATGCATTGAGGTGAAGTGAATCCTCCATCCACTTGTATAGCGAGTGGATGACACAGCCAGGTCCACACTATGTTAAAGCTGCATTGTTTTCTCTTTCCTTCTGAAGCAGTCCTGTCCTTTGCCCCCCTCACAGATCTTGTACTCTTTTAAAGAGTTGAGTTAGGAGTTGGATTTTTTTTTTACATCAACATAGTTACACAGGTAGCTGTCCACCTAGTGGAGATGTGATTATTCTAATGTAATTAAAGCCTTTGTCTGTCCGCAATGCTCTGGGCCAACTGCGCATGCACTGCCAAGAGGGTGTGCGCAAGGGCCGGGAGCCTTACAGACAGAAGGGGCAAGGGAGTGATGGAGCTGGCCCACCTCCCCAACAACAGCTGGCGGGGAGGGGGAGACAGCAGGGAAGAGGGGAGGAAAGGAGGGAGGGAGGGAGGGAGGGGAGCGGGAAGGGGAAGGGGAAGGGGAAGTGTTGGGTCCAGACGTCAATGTAAGTGCACATGTGTGAAAGCACATGTGAGCCCTCGGCTCCCCGCATCCCCACCGAGCAGAGCAGCAGGACCAATGAGAGAGGAAAGGAGTCACAGCCAGGAATAAGGTAAGAGGAAAAGGGGGAGGAAAGGCGAGCAGGAGTCGGCCCAGCTGTAGGGAATCGGGAAAGGTTTTTTTTTTCCTCTCCTGTCCCTATTTAGCAGCACCGGATGGGAGCCCTGCAAACAGGCCAGGCAAACAGGCGCGCTCTTCAGGAGCACGCCAGAGTTGGCACAGGAGTTTGCACAGGGGGGAGCACAGGGTGGGGGCGGAGACTCCATGTGTCGGGAGCCCCTGCCACAGAGGAGGACTCCAGACAGAGACCTCAGGTAAGCGTATGAGGAGGGGGTAGCAATGGGGATGGTGACACAGAGTGTAGCCAGGGACCCAGCCTTGGTGTTGCCTCTGGCTCAGAGCTCCTATGGGGCTAGCACCCAGACTGGGCCTTTGGAGGGTTTGGCAACACCCTGGGCCCCTGTCTGTGGCAGCTGCCTGGCAGGGGCTCTGGGCAAACCAGAAGTCCCCTCACCTGTCCCATATGTGCCCAACTTGAGGCCCTGGAGGGGCAGATGAGGGAACTCCAGATAGAGGTGAGCAGGCTGCAGTGGATCAGGGCAGCTGAGGAAGAGACTGACAGATACTTCCATTCTCTTCAGGGCCACGCACCTGGAGGGAAGGCGTCACAGGAGGCGGTCGATGCAGAAGGATAGAAGACAGTCACCTCCAGATCTAGACATCGCAGAGCTAGATGTCACACTACTGGAGCAACTCCCTCAGTGCAGCTGGGATACAGGTGTGATGCCCTAGCATCACTGGGAGAGTGTACAGCAATGGAGGCAACATCCACAACTACCACCAGACAGGCTGAGAGGCAACTGGGCAGCCAGAGGAGAAGACATAGAGTCATCATGGTGGGAGACACCCTCCTGAGAGGAACAGAGAGAGCCACCTGCTGCCCGGATCCTACAGTATAGGAGGTATACTGCCTGCTTGGAGCTAGGATTCAGGATGTCACACTGAGGCTTCCAGACCTAATCAGGCCCATGGACTACTATCCCATGGTCCTCATCCATGTTGGAACGAATTATGCGGCCCGGAGTAGTCCGGGACAGGTCATAGCTGACTACAAGGCTCTGGAAGACAGGCTTAGAGACTTGGGGGCACAAGTAGTCTTCTCATCGGTTCTCCTGGTCAGCGGACGTGGCCAGCACCACAGGAACTGCATAGAGGAGGTCAACTCACGGCTTCAAAGCTGGTGCCACCGTGTGGGGTTCGGCTTTCTAGACCACGATCCGTACTTCCAGGATAAGACCTTGCTGGGATGGGATGGCCTACATCTCCCTCCAAAAGGTAAGAGTCTCCTCTCTTACAGTTTGGCAGACCTCCTACGTAGAGCTTTAAACTAGCTTCATCAGGGGATGGGGATGCTGAGTTCAGGATGAGATCGGGGAGGACAAGCCACAAACCGCATGCCGGAATTGATCAGGTAAGTACTAAGGGACCCACTAAGAATCAGGAAATTTGAATACTGAGTGCACCTATCGGGGGGCTAAAGTGTCTACACTAATGCTATAAGTATGGGAAACAAGCAGGAGGAATTATGGGTCAGATTACAAGGGGGTAGGGATGAAAGGGACTTGGTAGTGGGGGTCTATTACAGACCCCCACACCAGGAGGAAAAGTTAGACCTAGAATTCTCAAAACAGATCTCAAGGGCAGTACGCTCAAAAGAACTAGTCATGGGTGACTTAAATTACCCAGACATCTGCTGGGAGGAGCAGTCGGCCAGGTCTGCCTGTTCACGTAGGTTCTTAACCTGCATACAGGACCTGCATCTAACACAGGAGGTATGCAGTCCCTTACTTGACTTGGTGCTGGCCACAGGGGAGGACTTCGTGGGGAATCTACAGGTACAAGGTAACTTAGGGGATAGTGACCACCAGTTGATAGGATTCACTATCTGGTGCAAGGTGGGAAAGACAACTAGTAAGGCAGTAGTGCTCGACTTCGGGAAGGCCAACTTCAACAAGCTCAGGAGTTTAGTTAGGGTGGGACTGAGGGGTAACCGAATCTGTGAGTTGGGAGTCCAAGAAGGGTGGGAGTTCCTCAAGGGACTGATCCTACAGGCACAGAGGTGCACCATCCCAGTACACGCAGAGGGAGGCAAGAGTCAAAAATCCTTCTTGGCTGAGCAGGGAAATCCATGATAGCCTTCAGAGGAAAAAAGAGGCCTACAGGCTGTGGAAGCAGGGGGCAGCCACCAAGAAGGAGTATACCTGCTTGGCTCGCACTTGCAGGGAAGCAATGAGGAAGGCCAAAGCAGGTACAGAACTCAAGTTGGCAACAAAGATTAAGGATAATAAAAAGTCCTTCTATAAGTACATAGGGAGCAGGAAGAAGGCACAGGGTAACATAGGGCCGCTACAGAATGGACTAGGGCAACTCATAACTGACAGGATGGAAAAAGCAGAGCTCTTAAATAATTTCTTTGCTTGTTTTCCTGGACATGGATAAAAATACACCTCCCAATGAATCGTTAGTCTGGAGTGTGAGTAATAACAATCCACCAATGGTTAGCCCTGACCTAGTGAAGGGGCACTTGGAAGGGCTGGATGTAGTTAAGTTGGCAGGCCCCGACGATGTTCACCCAAGGGTACTAAAGGAATTGGCTGATGTCATAGCAAAACCACTGACGCAACTGTTCGAGCGCTCATGGCACTCGGTACAATCTCAGAGGACTGGAAAAGGGCCTCCATTTTCAAGAAGGGGAGGAAGGAGGACCCGGGTAATTATAGGCCACTTAGCCTCACCTCTATTCTTGACAACACCTTAGAAAAAATCATAAAGGATCATATTTGCAGGGGGCCAGTGAGCCACACTATGGTAAGGGGCAACCAGAATGGGTTTATAGCAGGCAGAATCTGCCTGACTAACCTGGTCTCTTTTTATGATCAGGTCACGAATTGCTTAGATGCAGGAATAGAAGTAGATATTATTTACCTGGATTTTAAAAAGCCTTTTGACACAGTGTCACACCCAGTTCTTATGAGCAAACTGAGTAGCTGTGATGTGGATTTTTTCACAGTAAGGTGGATGAAAAGATGGCTCACGGGATGCACCCAGAGAGTGGTAGTGGATGGGTTGGTTTCCCCCTAGTGGGATGTGGGTAGTGGTGTCCCCCAAGGCTCTATCCTTGCACCAGTGCTGTTTAAGATCAGTGATTTGGATGAAGGTGTTGAAAGCACCTTGTCCAAATTTGCAGACGACACTAAACTATGGGGTACAGTTAACACACTGGAGGGCAGGGAGCGAATTCAGACCGATTTGGACAGACTGGGGAAGTGGGCGGATCAGGATAGGATGCAATTTAACAAGGATAAATGCAAGGTGCTGCACCTGGGGAGAAAGAATCTCCAACACACCTGTAGACTGGGAGGTACCATTCTGAGCACCACAACACTGGAAAGGGATCTTGGAGTCCTGGTTGATGCAGAAATGAACATGAGCCGCCAGTGTGACAAGGCAATAAGCAAGGGTAACCGCACTCTTTCTTGCATCAGCAGATGCATCATGAGCAGGTCTAGGGAAGTGATAATTCCCCTCTATGCGGCATTGGTGAGGCCACAGATGGAGTACTGCATTCAGTTTTGGGTGCCATACTTCAAGAGGGATGTGGATAACCTTGAGAGGGTCCAGAAAAGGGATACTTGTATGGTTGAGGGCCTGCAAGTAAGACCCTATGAAGACGGCCCTGACAATCTACACCCCAGGGTGCTCAAGGAGCTGGCGAGCATCATAGCCCAGACTCTGGCACAGATCTTTGAAAACTCCTGGTGCTCTGGTGTAGTGCCCAAAGACTGGAAGAAGGCCAATGTGGTGCCTATCTTCAAGAAAGGGAGGAAAGTGGACCCGGCTAACTATATGCCTGTCAGCCTGACTTCTATCCTGGGGAAGATCTTAGAAAAGTTTATTAAAGAGGCCATCCTTAATGGACTGGTCAACACCAACATCCTAAGGGATAGCCAGCATGGGTTTGTTGCGGGTAGACCAATCTCATTTCCTTTTACGACCAGGTGACCTATCACCTGGACAAGGGAGAAGAGATTGCTGTCATATATCTTGACCTCAAAAA